TATATATATATATATAAAACCAAGATAGACAGTTGGAAAACTCGTCATTCGTACTTGATTAGCCTTGTCAAAAAAAGACAGATCTAGGTTTATACCTTTGGTAGTTAGTTAGTTAAAAGCGCGATAAGATTTATTCTTTTGTTACACTTGCTAACGCAAAGTTCTTAAAAGAAGAGAACAGTCAGAAGAACGACAGTGCTGAAAACGGCAACGCAACCAATTTCGTAATTACAGGAGGTGGAAATTTGACAGGTCCAAATTGCAAACAAGATCTTTACCTTAAAAGGTCTAATGGTTCGTAAAGGCTGTATTACCCTCGCCGTATATAGTCTCATCGATTCCAGCTGAATTCCTTCATACTCCAATCTCACCAGATATAATTACTATTATTTGCAAAACCGGAAGATGATCCTGTAATCTTGCAGTTGCGATCAGATGATCATCACATAATACCCTTTGTTAAAGAACCTCTCCTTGTAGAGTACTAGCCAAATTAGAGAAAATAAATGACTTTTATTCGACAAATAGTTTTTCCTTATATTTAACAAAAAGTGTGGCCACTCTTTTAAAAATATTTATTCGATTAATGTGGCAACGATTTCCTGCGATACGTTTTTACTTACCTCATAATCTCTTCGTTACTGAACTAAAATTCATTGGAACCGGAAACAATGGTAACCTCATGGCGTTATATCGAGCGATACACTATATATGTAGAACAAAAACGATAGTACAAAGGCCTGGAACACAGGAGAGAAATTATCCGAACTGCTGACAGCACTGATTCAAGTTCGTTGTCCATCCAGCATTTAACAAGGCGTTGTTTGCTGATCAATATTATTGTTTTGCTATCCGGCCGACCATATGGGCCCTTCGTTGAATAATAATTGATGTTCAAACGTGTTTGCACGGATGAAATCTAAAAATATAGCTTTAAAAAATCAGACCAGAATCTAAAAACATTACAAAAATATAATATTTAGTATGACTAACAGTATTGATTATTTTGATCGAAAAATTCTTATGAAGCATTTTTGTGCTTCTTCCAGAGGACAAACAGTTGTTGGTTTAGAAATATTTTGCCCGAAGATACGGCAACCTACGTCATTCATCAGTGATGAATATAAAATTGGGACAATTCACCTCTCGAAGGGTTCAAATAAGGATTCGAAACCAAAATATCCAAGGACATCATTTGACGATCCAGTGGTGGTGGCACTGTTTCCTTCGCTCTAGAGAACAAAGAGTCCATGTGTGGGTGCGTCTGAATGCTGCCCAGACTTTAGTAGAGTCTGACACCCAGGCATTCTCCATAAACTTCCTACCCACTTTTTTATCCGTGAATTCCATTTAACTGACCGCTGCTTCTGAGTGGGGTTGACAAGGAGTAATCAGTTGCCAGAGCAACGCAAGTTGGCGTCCTACAATGGAGCATTTCTGGTTCCCTCCTGTAAACCATTTATACTGCTGACTTTCCTATACATCCCAACACCAGCAAGCAATTTTGCTTCAACCCGGAACCTTATCAAAGTAACTTCCAACATCCGAAAACTTCATCCATTTATCCGACAAGTGCGTAAAGAGAGGACAGGACTGAATGAGGAAAAATACAGAACGTACATTTACAATTAAAAAAAACGTCCTGCCAGCCACTATAAATAAACAACAGAACTTTTATAGACAGCAGACTGACTTGGAATCCCCATACAAGCCTTAAGAGAACAACAACTAAGCAGATGTCTTGGATTTGGAATATTTTTAGGACCGACATTTGTTTTGATCGTCCAAGTTCAATTAGCCCTGAAGAATGCATTACTGCGACCACTTTGTACATATGGAGTGGAACTGTGTGGTTCCGCCAAGCCATCCAGTCATTCCATCATAAGACCTAAGAAAAATTGTCAATGCTCCTTACTACGTCCCTATTCTCACTATCCACAACGACCTCAACATTAGTTTTGTTCGAACTGATACGATCCCGCTTACAAAAGTTCCTTATGAAATTTTCGATCTTTCTTAACCCTACAACAAACGAGTTGCAGGAGTAGCAAGGAAAGGAACCTCTACAGACAAACTCGTTTAAGAATGTACCAATTAATAGAACAAAATGTTTAAAAAAAATAAGAATAAAGAAAGAAATTTCAGAATGAATTAGAAGGATCAGAAAATAATTCGTAAGAGCAGGTATGAAAAATATGTTAGTCAACAGAAACGGAATGTGAAGATTCTGCAGAAGCGAAAGTACATTTATTTAATAACACTGCGGAGCTATATACTTCTGCAGGAGAAAATTTCATTTTTTACTTTTAACCCCTGGAAATGTGTCGCAGCAAGTATACAGTTAGAACATAATAGATCTTGAAAGGCTCAGGCATCTTGTACAATGAATTTAAAACCATCAAACATTGGACAAAACTTGACCTGAAAGATTACGGAAGTCAAAACATATGGTATGTTAAGAGCCGGCTAATCGGTTTAATTCCTAATAGATTATAAAATAGCAAAAAGCAGAAATCCGCCCACCTCCTTAAAACAAAAAACGAACATAATTTCATATAACATGAAATTTTCTAACGTCGAGGCCGGATTATATGTGTGCAAGACAACCCAATTGGCTTGATTTACACTTTATGTTCCTTTTGGTGCCAAGTACAACTCTAAGTATTTTTAATTTTTTAAATACTCCTTCTATTAAATGTCCTAACATAGAAAGTCAATTACCATAAAGAAATCGAACATTCTACCTTCATTTCAGGTTTTGTACATACTAATGTACAGAAAACATTATACGCAGTATATTAGTCAAAATTTGAATTGGTTTCCCC